TAAAATACTAGAAAATTATTTTAACTAATATTGAAATTTCACGATCCTTACAATTGAATAAGTGCATAATAGACAAAAAGGTAAAAGTACTTCATTCTGATTTTGGTGGGAGGTATAAGATGGACCTGTTTCTGTATTGGAGCCGAGCTCACGGCATTTCGAGATACTTCATTGGAAAGGAAATCTTGGGGCAACGAGATAGGATGGCAAATTTGGAGAACCGTGCCTTGCTGGAGGAGGATCAGTGTTTGTTGTCAAGCAATGGTCTGTAGAAGAGTTTCTGGACTGAGGCTTCGACATATTCGAGCCATCTTACTAAAGAGTTGTCAACTGCTATGATAGGAGGTAAAAATCCATTAGAAGATAGGTCTGGTTGTGTCACTTTGGATGAGGCTTCGATGAGGGAGCCTATTGACTCTCAGCAGGTGGAGAGTTTTGGACATATCATAGAGGTATCACAGCGGGTGGAGAGTGATGCTACTTCACATTGGGTGGAGATTACTCTATATTCTCCTGATCATTCTGTATCGTTTAGGATTCTAGCTGAGGTGACACAGTTTGGAGATCATTTGTTTTTGGATGCAGATGATGAGTTGGATTTTGATTCGAGTGCAGTTGATAGATGTAGTTTAGATATGGGCATTGGTTCAGCTTAGGTGGAGGTGTTTTATTCATTACATTTTAAGGCCATTGGAGGTGCTATTAGCCGCAGCGTTGATGATATTAGAGAAGAGTTGCGAACTCTTCTATTGAATTGAGGTCGTTCGTGGCCATTTTGGTGAACTACGTAAGGCTTGATTCCTTGGGCAAGAGGATACGTAGGTAGTCATTTATGATGCAACCGATTTGATTGGTTAATACTGACATTTAGAGAGTGTTCGCATTCTCAATTTGGTCTCGACTTATTGTGGATTGAGTCCGTTGTCGTGAATTATTTCACTTCATACTGGATGTAACAAGTGAGACATTTGGTTTGGGTGGTATCGGCTCAGTTTTGAGAAAACTTCGCCGAGATGAAGAATTGTGAACGTGAAGCGGGGGCCACATGGGAAAATCACGTGAAAAAAAGAGTTGTGAACGTGGAGTGGGGGCCACTCATGTTTCAGCTTGTTTACGCGTGAAGAGATCAGGGAAATCTCTTCACGGGCCCATTCACGTGCTGCTGCAAGACCCGATTCCGCTGCTATAAAAGGTCACCTAGGGTTTTTGGTTTCATTGGTGCATAGAGGGCTGCGCAGGTGCAAGTCAGAGCAGAAGAAAAAGAGGTGGCAGAGAACAATCAGTTGTCAGCGTGTGCAAATTGGGGGTTCGTGCAAGGCAGGCGAAAAAGCAGATTGCGGCTGTGGTTGGAGGAAAACTGCAGAGGAGAAAAATCCTATTTTGGCGGCATCCTTTTGAGAGAGATATTCGTGTGAGGGATTTGAGAGATTATTTGAGGGTTTAGGTTGTGTGATTGTAAACCCTATTTGTATTCTCTCCCTCTAATTGTAGATCCCCCTCCTTGCCCCGTGGACGTAGGTAATTAGCCGAACCACGTAAAACTCGTGTGATTTGTTGTTTGTGGCCATTGTAATAGTTAATTAGGTTACCTCGACAGGTCAGTCCTAGAACTGATGAAACTGATGAGAGGAAGAGCTGATATCTCACTTTGTTGAGATATTCATTTCAGATTCTTTTTTCCTTGGTGAGACATGAATTCTTATTGCGATCTTTCTATCTTATTGTGCATCAGAAACTCTGCCGAAATTTCCGCTGCACACAATAATTTCTTAACCATGCTATAAGTTTCTTTTTTACCAATGTTATTTCTTGCAATCAATTAAATCATAGCTCAACTTCAATTTAGATCAAGAACAAGGTAATAAAGGAGAAATATATATATTAAGGATACCAATTTTTCCATTAAAATTTCTAAATTGAGTTAATTTTTTAGGGTTAAGACCAAATTACTCTTGGCTGAAATTAGCCTCATCCCATTGTAAAAAGGTAGGTAAAAATGTAAATAAAAAATCAATTAAGGTAAAACAAAACCATAATTGACATGTGAGTAGAACATGTGAATACTCAGACATTCAAGTAACGTAATATACTAATTTGCCATGTTTAAACAAGTTGGGTATGTAAGTGCAAACTTTTACAATTTGGGGTGTATAAGATTAAGGAAGATGAAAATATAAGGTATTTAAGTGTTTTTTTAGCCTTTTAGAAAACCCTTTAAATTTGGTCATTTCTTAGATAAAACCATTAACTTACAAAATGTCATAACCCCCCCACCCCCCACCAAAAAAAAAAAGATCTTTGGCGATCTCAATCCCCTTAAACTTTCAAAAATTTTCAAAAAAATCCTTCTTAATGGCAATAATCCTTACTTTGTAGTTTTTCACATGAGTAAAATTATGCATGCTGATATATTTGCCAATGAAAATTGTGTTTCACACTTTTAGGGTTTGAATGCGATTTTCCGAGAACCTTAAAACTTGAAGAGTTTTGTGACATTTTAAAAATTTGAGGGCTTTATCCTGAGGTATTTATGAAATTTACCCTAAATAAAATGTATAAATTTTATAATTGGAAAAACTGATTTGATATCTAATAAAGTGTTAATGCAAATCAAACTAATTTGAAATACTATTATATGATACAATTATATATTAGTACCATAAAATGATCATAGCAATGCACACTTATAGCCTACATATAAACATAAAAATGGACACACGTGCACCATACTAGTATTAAATATAAATATATGGTAGGGTAACAGTGGATACATATATATTTTCATTCGAATAAATGAATATGTGTATCTATACAGTGGTTGAATGACCATTAGATTAATGCATTTGTAGTTAATTTTGATGGTCCTTGGTTTGATATCACCTTAGTAGATTGTCAAGCATACTGGTGGGTTATTATTTGAAAGTTCTATTATATTCAAACTTTTTTTGTACTATACTCTCTAATTATTCTTAATCTTATATGCTTTTTTCATATCCATTCTATATTCACATATATCTTCTATTATCTGGTCTGTATCAACATTCACCATTAGAGGCTAATGACTGCCAGATTCTAACAACGTTTTCCTTACCAAATCCTATAAATGTCCATATATTCGTAATTAGTAAGTGAGTTCAGATATGGTAAGTGTCATATTTGAACATCCGATCTGTTTGCACTATCTTATGCGTATAATCTAGATTTTGCAATTGGACTAGTCAGACCATGCCATGTCAGCAGATGACTCAGTCAAAAGGTAATCAACTTGTGAAGGCGCGAGACAACTACACTCAGCATACTTAACTCAAGTCACGACACTAGGCCAGCTAAGACCCATGATTACCAATATATAACAGTAGTTCGGATATAATACCTTGATCTAACCCGGTCCGATTTTATGGAAGTTTGCCTGATTAGAGATGATTGATTCGAGTCGTACATTTTCATCAAGATACCGTGTTAGGAAATATTAATTGATAATCAATCTCTCTAATTGCCAGCTACTATAACTCCTCCGATCCTAATACACATTACAGGAACCTTCCCTCACGAATGAGATCGTGTCCGCCAAGTAAATACCACAACTAGCTCACCCGATAAGATGGTGACACTCATACCACGCGAATTATCCACAAAGATCTCTATAAATATGCTAATCTACCTCAAGTAAAAAGACTCGTTCTTTGCTAGACTTGGCATCGCTCACCTTCGATCTATGAACCCTTCTTTAAATCCTAAACTACATACCTATTGTTTTGATGCTTATTATCAAGAGTCTTACTTAGGTATTGGAGGAATGTTGGTGAACAACGTACCTTCGTCAATCTGACGCTTTTGCTGTATCTCAAAATAAAGTCAACATGTGCCATTTAGGACGGTCAAATGGCTCTCATCATCAAGTTCAATATTACATAATCTATTAGGTTTTTCCTTATATCTACACACATTTGAAGAGAAGGCTACCTCCAAATTAGCTTGAAATGGTTTTATATTTTGTCATTTGCCTACTTATGCAACCAATAAAATTACGGGATTGCAGGTAAGTGGGTTAGTTAAGCTGATTAATCAAAACCGCGGCCAAGCTAATGGGACAATAAGTTACACGAACTTTCTTCCTAACACAATGATAAGAGTTTAATCAGTCAAAGTCGTAAAATTAGTGACCTAACTATTTTATGCAAGACTCAAATCATAACTCATTAACTCGTAAATAATGAAAATCTTAAAATCTCACGCATAAACAATATAAGGAACTAACAGGCAGCATAAAATTAGCAAAAGTTTTCTGGTCATTTAACAATCACTAAAATAGGAAAATGTATAGACCTTTTTTGTCTCAAAAATTATATTGATTTTGCATAAAGTCATCATGAAATTTGTGATTCACGTGACAGTAAAATAATGATGGATTTTTTTTCTTAAACAGCTTAAGTTTTCATATTAGACTTTTGCAATTGGCCTAATAAAATAAAAGTTCGAATTTTGTTAAAACAAAGGCTCCAGATGTTAGAGATCCTTTGGATTGAAGGACTTGATTAAACAAAAAGCCCATTGACCAATCCAACGCTCCAAATTTCGTCTCTGACGGAAGCCGTGGATTGGACCCCTGCCTTTTGCCCTCACTCTGACCGGCCCATGGGATTCGCCGCCCCCCCCTCTCTCTCTCTCTCCTCATTAGGTACGCAAAAATCCTATTGGTCTTCTTTTCTTCCCGTCTCGTCCGCCCATTTTCTATCTAACGGTCACTATAAACTACGGTACACCAAGACCCCCACGCCCACTCTCGTGTAGTCGACTCACACCGTTACCTGCCTCGATCCTAAACTTCAAAGTCACCGAACCATATCCTCAGCCTGACCCAATTAAAAGATAGAGCCCCAGTCCCTCACGCCAAACCCTAACCCTAACCCTAACCCATCATAACTAACCAAGTCAAATCCTCCCCCTAATCCTAACCCAAGCCCAAGCCCGAGCTCAAATCCCCCCATCAATCCTAACCCATGGCCCCCGAGGACGAGGATCCCGTCGCCTTCAATGACGAGGACGACGATCTCGAGGACACCGACGACACCGACATGGACGATCGACGAAGATGCCCGCCGCGCGCACCGGGATCAGCCCGACCCCGCCCTCCTCAGGCCACGCGATCTAACTCCTCCCGCCTCCAATCCAGATTTCAGCCTGACCAACTTGATCCAATATGCCTAATTAACCCTAACTTGCTCGTCGGAGCGACAAGCTCGGCGATCGCCTGCGCCCAGAACGCGCTGTTGCAGGTCACCCGAGACCGTAGCTCCATCCACCGCCGGCCGGCGCTACCGGCGACCTGCAGTCTCGCCGATGTGAAGGCGGCCGAGTTCGAGGAGCGAAGACCGCAGCCCTCGACCTCTCTCGACGAGTCTCGCCGCTTGTTCCAGCGTCTTTGGACCGACGACGACGAGATCAAGATCCTGACGCGGTTCTTGGAGTTCACGTCGTCCCGAGGGACGACGTTCGCCTCTCATCAGTACGACACGGGGCCGTTCTACGAGCAGATCAAGAACGAGCTGCAGCTCGATTTCAACAAGAACCAGTTGATCGAGAAGCTCCGGAGGTTGAAGAAGAAGTACCGGAACACGGCGACTCGGATGGCGAACCATGGGCCTGATTTCACCTTCAGGAGTCCTCATGAGAAGGCCACTTACGATATCGCCAAGAGAATATGGAGCGCGGGCATCAAGAGATCTCGGGAGAGTGATGACGAGGATCTGAATCCTTATGCGAACAACACCAGCGATGCTGGGGCGAATTTTCTGACCGGAAGGCCGGGCGACGCTCGAGGTCCGAGAAAGGGCGTGGCCGCAAAAGAGAGCTTGTGAATCATTGGCCCGCGAGCGATTGGTTCCGGGCGTTTACAGCTTTACCGGGTCGGTGCCTCCGCAGTGAACGCCGGCTCCGGCGTCATCGGAAGGCATGGTCAAGGTCGAGGTTCAGACTGTTCCCATCACTGCTCCAGCAACGGCAACACCTATTCAAACACCCATTCAGAAACCCTCAAATTCTACTGCAGCAGCGTCTCCTTCGGTTCCTACTGTTATCGAGGAGACAGTAAAGAGCTGTCTTTCGCCGATTTTTAAAGAATTGTTGAACTCGGCGGTCTCCGCCCCCCCTGGTTTGGGGATAAATTTTCCGCCTTTATTGAATTTTGGGGGGAGCATGGGGAATTTGTCAGATGAAAAGTGGAAGAAACAGCAGATTCTTGAGCTGGAGGTGTATTTGAAGAGGGTGGAGCTTATCCGGGAACAGATTGAATCGACATTGGAGGAGCTCAGGGCATCTCCGAGCTGATTTTAAGGTTTATTTGAAAATTTCTTTCTGTAATTTTAGCCTTTTGATATATCTAATTCTCTCTCTGTTTTCATTTTTATATAATTGTTAGTTTGAGTAACTTGGTATTCCTCTGTTTTAGAGAAAGTCACAGAGAATCTTTAAAATAACTCTTTTGTGTCTTTGTTTCTATTAAAACCCATTTGGGCTTTAGGTTATCTAGCCTTTTGTAGTGATAGTGGATCCGGAAGTTGCATTTCTTGTTATTTTTCTTTCTTCTGTTGTTGGATCTCTGAGCATGATGATTTATGCGTATAGGCTATAATTTATCTCAATTTTTTGCTTCAATGTTTTTGTTTGGTGCTTAATGCTCCGTGTGATTTGTTGTGAGACCATCTAATCTATATAGGATTTATTAGGATTTAGGTGACAGAATGCAACAGGCTTCCACCCCCTTTATTACTACCTTTTCCCTCCCTTTATTGTTTTGTAGCTTTTACGGGCAGACATGTTCATTTTATTTGTTGGCTCTTTATGGTTTTAACATATATATATATATCAGCATCTGGTAGAAGATCTACTGAATAAGCCAAAGGTTCCCTTTTAAAATACTTATTTAGTTTCTTAAGCATTATATGGAATCAAATCGCCATCTTTTGAGGACTCCTCCAAACTATTAACCAGCCATCAAGTATTGTACTACAGGACATTTCAATTATCGGCTTCTTGTTCATCTTTTGAGCTGCTCAGAATTGGTTTTTCTTTCTCATACCTTCATCAGTTCCTTCTGCTTTATACCTTGGGAGATCACCATTTACTTAAGGTACTACTGGCTCCCACTTTTGTTTTGAGCATCTCCTCTTCTCCTGTGGGCCTGTGCTATGAGTTGTCTCCTAGCTTCTTAGCAGTGACAGCTTGTCACTGTCTTTTAGTTATTTGGTTACTTTTATTCATTTAGTGTACTGGAGAAATGCTAATTATTGGAATCTGCTATCCTAATTTGATGGCGACATTTATGGTAACCTTCCAGCCTTTCAGTTTTAGCAAACAATTTTTGGCGGATGCGTCTTTCAGACTTCATTTAGGATTGAGTTCAGTATGTGCACAAAAA